CATAGACGATATGGTTGTTTTCTCTTCATCACTACGAGAACATGAAATAAAAGTAAAAAAATTACTCAATCGGCTCAGAGAATTTGGACTTACACTGCAGATTGATAAATGCGAATTCTTACGTAAGGAGGTTACTTATTTAGGACACATTTTAACAGAAAATGGTGTTAAGCCAGATCCTCGTAAATTACAAGCTGTAAAAGAATTTCCCATTCCTAAAACACAGAAAAATGTCCAGCAGTTCTTGGGACTGACAGGATATTATCGCCGTTTCATAAAAGATTATTCTATTAAATCAAAACCATTAGTTCAATTATTAGGTAAAGGAATTCGTTTTAAGTGGACCGAAGACCAGCAAAAAAGTTTTGAAAATTTACGCGACGAACTCTGTACACAACCAATTTTACAATATCCGGATTTTAATCGACCGTTCATTGTTACCACTGACGCATCAGATTACGCAATTGGAGCTGTACTTAGTCAAGGAGAAATAGGAAACGATCTACCAATTGCCTACGCATCTCGTACCTTAAATAAAGCCGAAAGGAATTATTCTGCTACAGAAAAGGAATGTCTTGCAATGGTTTACGCAGTACAATATTTCAGACCGTATCTTTATGGAACAAAATTCACACTCGTCACAGATCACCGACCGTTAGTCTGGTTACACTCTGTCAAGGATCCGACATCACGACTTATGAAGTGGAGACTCAGACTCTTAGAGTACGAATATCAGGTTATCCATAAAGCAGGAAAGACGAACAAGAACGCAGACGCATTATCACGTAACCCAGTACCATCTTGCTTACCACTTATACCCCGAGATCCTCAAGACCCCGATTACAAGCACATAGGACAGAAACCAGAAATCGACACGGATTCCATAGGATTTCGTGTGCGGCAACTACAAAGGGACAGGGAAAGGAGACCGAAATATCAAGAGGAAAACACTAGCTCTGATGCAGAACCAGCCCGTGGGAAGGTTCAACATTCTCCAATAGCAGATAGACCGAGAGTCTTACCTAACTTATCGCACGAGATAAGTATGCCAGATGAACACATGGAAACAATAAATTTTCATCCGCAAGCAAACTCTACTAAAATCACATCGACAGAAGAAGACGTAAACTTGATTTCATTCGAAGAACCATCAGAAAATACCATTACGGAAAACACGATAATCGCAAACCCGCAACAGGATTTACTTAACCATACACCATTATCACTTGTAACAAATGAGGGAATTTTACAACCACAACCTGTTAACGAAACAATAGGAACGGCAATCCAGCAACCACAGGAAAACTTTGACCGTACCGTTGACCCTTATCCGTTCACACTTCTTGACACAGACACTCTTTCCACGGAGGGAGATGACCTGCGAAGAAAAGTGCAACCTTCACAGACACTTGAGGTTATTATCTCTCCAAACACCCTGACCACCGAGGAAGGTCATTACGCACATTTCATACCTGCGGACTGTAAATTGGTAACCCCCATTGGAAAACTGTTACTAGACACAGAAGCAATAGATTTACAACAGCTCATGTCAAAGAAACCGCAGAAAGGAGACGTAATAGAATCAGCAAATGGCTCATACAAAGTTTACAGTATAATAATATCAGATAATTTTTACGACACCATTAAAAGTGAAGATATACTAAACGGACTACAAACACTGAAACAGCATTTAGATCAAAATCCAATTAAATCATTTAGAATATCAGCAGTCGGAGATTTTCATAAATTACCAACCAATGAATTAACTAAATTAATAAAGGACGTTTTCAACGGTACAACACAGAAAATCATCATATGCAATTGTTCAACGATTACACCATCAGAAGAAGATCGATTACAAATAATTCGCGAAGCTCACGACAGTTTGATAGGAGGACATAAAGGAGTCACAAAAACATATAAACGCATCAGAGCGAAATATCAATGGCCAGAAATGCACAACGAAATACGAAATTATATCAGGAAATGTCCAAGCTGTCAAGAAGAGAAATTAGTTAGAGCAAAAACTCATCAACCAATGTTAATTACCGATACCCCGATAGAACCATTTGATAAAGTTGCTTTAGACACCGTAGGACCTTTACCTTTAACGCCTAGCGGAAATAAATACATTCTCACAATGCAAGATTGTTTAACGAAATATTGTATAGCAGTAGCAATACCAAACATTAGAGCAGCCACAATAGCAGACGCTTTCGCGAGACATTTTATTGCCATATATGGAACACCACGAGCAATATTAACAGACAAGGGAACTAGTTTTATCGGAAGCTTAATGAAAAATCTTTCAGAAATATTCAAAATCAAACAAATCACAACTTCTGGATACAGACCACAAACTAATGGATCACTAGAACGAAGTCATATAGTACTAACAGAATATCTTAAACATTACATGGATAATTATGAAGATTGGGACCTATTAATACCATTTGCCATGTTTTCTTATAATACTTCCGTACATGAAGCAACAAATTTCTCTCCATATGAATTAATATTTGGAAAACCAGCCCGTGAACCAAGTTCGTTTCCAACTGGCGAAAGGTTAAAATCATATGGCGACTATTTAACAGAATTAATAACTCATACTATAAAAATCCGCAACATAGCAGCCGATAATTTGATTGCCTCCAACCACCATTCAACGTGGCGGAGGCGTGGTTGGGCATGAGATACGCGGCTCCAGGCCGGGTATAAAAGCAGACCACAACACCATTTCTTCCAAAACACTTATCTGAGCGGACCGAAATGTGCTACATCAGGGAACAACCAACTGAGAGGGACACCAGTCGCATCGAGCTGCTGATGAACTTGACGGCCCGCCTGTGCATGCGCAGCACTTGCTACAGATTAGACGTTGGCATTGTCTGTATGCAGTGTGCTCTCGAAGCAGCCCTTGGAGCAGCAAGGATCTATGACATGATGGAGGTACACTATCCACTACCAACGGCATATCCGCCTGGGGCCTGCGATATTTGCAGCGCGCCCCTGATGGAGTTGCAGGCCGCCTACCACTGCGAGGAGTGTATTGCCGCCATCATCATGGAAATGGAATACCAAAGAGCAAACCAACCCATACCACCGCCTGCAATAGTACCAACCTGGTACACCGAGAGACAAATCCGATCGAGGCAGCCTGGACCCAGACGTACGCTTCGACTTCATACCGCAGTTAGCAGCATCACCAACCATCACACGTAGCGATAAGTACACACACATCACACATAACACCCGACATATTGCATTACAACACCAAAACTTCAACACATTCTAGTGAGTGTTTTCCTTTCCAATTGAAAGCATCACGATTACCGCGATGTTTCATCTAAGGGGGGAGGTGTCACGTAGACAGACCGTTTTTATCAAACGTGTCTCCTTTCAAATAAGCTTAAACATCTGGAAAGGAAAACTCTCGGGCAAACCGACCATTTACTCTCGTAATAAACAGAAGGCCCACCGATAGCAGAACCAAACACTTGGGAAAGCAATGGGTCCGCCGTAATCAAATAGCAGATGCAACCACTCTAAACTGTCGCAGAGGCAGGTGGACCCAGCCTGATCACTCGAATAGTAACCAGACCACCCTTCTTAATTAGTATATAAACCCGTTCGTACCAACGATCGGGGGCAGTACCAGAGTTCATCTCGTGTCGAGCACGTCGTGTACGGTAGTGAGTTGGTTACTATTAGTGAGATCGGGTTGAAGTCCCCTTCGAGCAACATTCACCTTATAGAATCCGCGAGTCGTGTTTCTATTTGGCATTACAATCAACCACACACAACACCCCCGCATTGCCAGTGCGTGAACACCGAGCATAGTGGAAATAGGTAATATATCACATTATACACCTATATTCACGACAACAACATCTGTAATAGACCAAGATTGTAGAATATATACATTGCTGTGTCAAACCCACATTAGCATTCTCCTTTAAACCCAGTGAAACCTTGTGACAGTTCCTACCACAATACAATCTTACCGCTCGGGTTGTATTGATAATAAAATAAGTTACGCGGCCGCCAATCAGAAAGCCTCTGATAGCCACGCGCGCTGCCAAGCCGTCGGCCACGTAACAATTCTCCGATTAGTTTCGCACGAAATTCGTTCACGGTTGGAAGAAAATCTTTTCTTTTTTTTTTCACTTCATTCTTCGATTCGACGATTGACGATAACGAGCAATTCCTTTCGCCGAACAATTATAAACGTATACGTGATTCGTGCACGCTCAGGCCCCGTAAGTTTAATAAGTTTATGCTCCAATTAACCGTGCCCCGTTGGCTCGTTCGCAAAACTTATCGACGATTTTATGCGTTGCGCTCACAGCGTATAATAATTCGGTAGAAAAACAGCGAGAGTAAATAATTCACGCCACTATAAAGCTGTTCGTCATGCTCCAACGATCACTGTTCTTTTTTTATCTTTTTTTTTTCTTCACCTTATACCGCGTAGTACTTCGTTCATCGACCGCAACAATTACGAGTTTGTGTCGTGGCCAAAACGTCGATAAGGTTAACAGGGACTCGTTCTCACGTGCATCTTCAAAAATCTAACTTATCGTCGTTGCGAAACCGATGCTTTAACACGTTGAATGCCACGGTGAAAATGAATAGAAAGAGAAGAACGAAAGAGAATAGAAAAAGTTAATTTTTAAATTTCAAATTTCAAGCTTTCTATTTGCTATTTTACATTATTTGTACAATAGCAATATTATTTAAACTAATTGTTTTTCTTTTAATTATTCAAGCGGTGCCGGTCGCTAGCGATTCAACGGGTTAATAGCAAAAGGTGCAATTGTAATAATGTCGCAATTCGATATTATTGCAATATCGAAAAAAATTACAATAGCAGGTTGCAACACCGTCGTAATTTTCTCAAACCTCGAATTATTGCAGTATTGAAATTATTACAATATCGCGTTGCAATAGTATCGTAACTATCGAATAATCATTGTAATACAATTTTATTTAATTTTCAGGTCTAAACGGTGGATCGACTCGTAGGAGCGGAGTTTGTCGGCGTGCACGGTCGACAAAGAAGGGCCCGGGACAGGATTGCTGGACTGTAAACTCGTAAAACGGTAGTGGTCGATCCGAGGGAACCGGAAGTGACGCAGCCTGGTAAGTGGCAGTTATCGATAGCCTGTTGTTAAGTTCAATGCGCGCGTTTCGTCGCTACGCGAACGATAGAGATGGAACGTCGAGAAAGCTCGAACGAAAGGAAGAAAGACCCTTCGGAGGTGAACAGAGAACGAACGAATCATCCCTCTAAATAATAGGGCGGTCACCGTCGCTGTAAACTTTTTACAACCCCCGTTAATCTTTTTTTCTCTCGCTCCGTTCACGTTTCTATTCCGCTCCAGTTGCTTTATTTTCCGTCTATCTCTCGGAATACCGTATCGCAAGCGTTGCCTTATTTCCTTTTTTTTCCCTTTCTGTGGTCTCTTTCTCAATATCGAGAAACCACATTTTCCAGCGGAAATCTAATATTCAGGCCGGTCGTAAATTGAATCGTTAAGCCACTACCGTGTAACTCTCTGTAATCTGTCGCTGAAATTTCATATTGCTATGTTATACTTTTATTCAAATTCATTTGAAACTATTAAAATGAAGGGTTGTCTCGAACTTTCAGTAGTTAAATTATTAGGATTCTTAATAAAAATTTCTTTTCCATCGTGGATAAAATTAATTCGACGAATAGCTGTTATATGTTATACCGTTTGAAAATAATAATAGGTTCTCCAAGACGTATATATACGCGGTTCGTAGCGAAATTATCGTTCGTTTCGCGGATTCGCACAATATCCGCTTCGCGAGATACAATTATAATCGTATCTGTGGTAGTGGTACGTTATCGTCACCGGTAATTATCCTGAGTAAGCCTTAATGATTATTATCGTTGCTGGATTAATACGATCGATTTTTTGGAGGTGTTTATCGGGAACCATAATTTGCAATTATACATTGAGAATATTGTCGTTTCCTAATTAATAAGCGAACGCGAATTATCTGCTGGAGCGAAATGAAAAAAATCTAATCTAGCTTTCCCTGACACTATTCGAGTCATAGTCAGTCGAAGCAATTATTAAATGAGAAAAATTTATGCAATTCGATCGGGTTAATGGCGAGTTTGAAAGTGAAACAGTTTTAGAAGGTTTGACGTTTCTTTCGTACCTGGTGCGGGTGGAAGGGAGAGGATGCGAAAATTGGTATCGCGGTAAACGCAGAAGGACAAGGGGGCGATAAGCAGAGTTCTCCGGTGTGGAGGTGGCCACCAGGAGGATCGGTAGGATGCTTTTAGCCAGCAGAGGGACAAGTTATTTATTGTTGCTATCTACTCGTCCCGCGACAGTGAAAGAGCCCACCGGTTCGTGGTAGTGCAGGTACGAGGAGCTCTCAATCCTTCTCTTATTAAAACCTGCCCTCGGTATCGGGAACTTATACTTTAGTACACTGAAAACTGTGTACAGTCACTCGTGGAAGTTATTGTTTTCGCGATAATCGACCAAAGAATATCTTCGAATCGTGTTTCCTATTGTTTATCTTCAACTTTGACCATCGACAACCTTGTCGAAGATATCCAGACGGATGTCCAGACAAGTAGATAAGGATCCTTGAATCGAGAGGAAAATTTATGCCGACGAACGGTGTAGATTCGAGAAATGAAAAAATAAGAGGGCGGTGGATCGAGAGTTTTACGCGACGGTTAAAATATATGCAAAGTTAAGGGGAAGAGGAGGAATTAGAAAGGAATTATGCCTCGGTGAAAAGATGAACGAGAATTCGGCGGGTTAAATGCGAAGACTATACAGCAAGAGCCATTACGCTAATGGGACGAGCCGAGAAAGCTGGTCTCTATCAGCTTCCCGAAAGGACAGGGGGTGGAAGGGGGGCAGAGACACGCAGGAGAAAAGAGGGAAAGAAGAAGCATCCTCGGAGAACGTGCCAAAGAACGCGTTACTCATCAACTAGCGAGGCTAAAGACTCGTGCCAAAAAATTGCAACTTTATTTCGCTTGATTATCGTCAATTAATCTATTGTCCTTGAAATTTGACAGAAGAAAAAGAAGATTAATTTATTTTTTATTTGATTTCTGATTATCTTACATCAGAAAAATGTATACAGTGAAATCTGTCAAAATAATGGATTTAAGATTCCTTGTTTGAAATTACAGAGTTTATTAAGCATTCTGTAAAGCATCAGATCCGACGGCTAGGGAATAAGCCTTTCTCTTTGCTCATTCTTTGCGGCAATATAATTAATTACATTTATAATGCTTGTCTCCAATCATAGAACATGACATCGATTGCGTTAACTGTTTATGCATCGTTTCAATCATCGCAGAGTAAAATTTGCTCACTTTTTTATGTCGTTCAGCTGTGTCAGTCTGGAAGGTAGAAAAGGTGGAGTAGTTAGGCACGTATTGGTCGCGTCAAATAGTTTCTGGATCAAGGAGGGCTGGCAGTTTGCAACACAGAGTTATTGAGCTATAAAAGCAAGAGGTATGTTAACGACAGACGTGTCGCAATAAACCTCGGACGTGTAAAATTGCGTTAATCGCATTTCACGCGGTTTACGTTCAGCAACATTGTACAATCCACGATACCAATAAAAAAAGCGTAAATTCTGAACTGATCAGAATGAAGTATAATAAAACTATAATTGGGACATTTGGATAATTAGAGACTTACTGATTCTCCCCTACTAATGATTCTTACAAATCTTAAATTGCATCAATTACAAGCAATTACAATTCCTCTGATCGTTCATCGTCTCGATATTGCAACAGTAGTAAACTTGGACCATAATTAATCACAATTTGCGCCGAAGTTAAACGCAAAATTTACATAATGCTTTTTCAACTTCTCTGAAATGCTTTAACATCGAAGCAATGGCAAACTTGGATAATAAATCATAGTTGACTACAATTTGCTTAGTCGTTAAAGACAAAATATGCGTAATGTATAATCATTAAGGCAAAATATGCATAATGTTCCCAGCTTTTTCTACTTGCTCGAACCCTTTATGGCTATCCGTTCAAATCACCACATCACAATTAATCATGATACGCTCAATGGTGAAATGTAAGATATGCACAATGTAATCGCTAGGAACACCATAAAAACGTCACTGTACGTGACGGTGAAATATAGAAACAAAGAATAGATGAATTTCCACGTTCTACCAACCTTGATTCGTCGACAGGATTGTTCCGGACGAGGCTGACCACCTCGCTTACTCTCCTCGATCACAGATCTCAAACTATGGGGACACTGATATTTCTGAACAGTTTCTTGAGGATCACGCACCTCGCATTCGTTCACCAGAGTCGACGGAAAACATGGACGGACGCGGTCGTACGGAAAAATCGAGCCCGAACGAAAGAGCACATTAGACTCGTTGCGACTCGGGAGCAAATAGAAAAAAAAAAAGCGTAAAAATGATAAAGGATCGACGCGCACCAGAGAAAACTTTGGTCTAGAGAGAGGCGTACGCTGCGGCTGCGCGAACCGGTGTGTGGGGCCGTTTCCTCGCTCGGTTAGCCTGGATGGAAGAGACGGCAAGGTGACTACCCCCACTGTTTCCCCAGCACTTTCGAATGGTTCGTGCTGGTTACCCGTCCACCTTGCCGTGGATCGTTGGGTGAACCGGTCGTTTTGAAACGGCCGCCTTCGATTCGCGACCCGCCTCGACTGTTCCCGCTCGACCAACCAGGGACGAGCGTAGCGGCGCCAATCGACGCTCTACCATGGCTACGCCTTCCCCTTGTCTCTTCCTCCGTTTCTTCATCCTGGTACACCTAGACTCTTCTCTCACCTGCTTCTCCAGCCCTGAGAGTCTTGAGCTTGTTCGGGTACCATTTCAGATGGATAGAGAGGGGAGAGACACGATGTTTGAGACCAAGTTAAAATGGCAACCGGACACTTTCCTTCTGATCCTGATCGTGGTTAATAGATGGACGTTCGATGATAAAAAAATGATAAGAAAAGGAGATCAGTTTAGTACTGTCTGGAGAAAGGTTTATATAAGGGGATAGATCGAATCGGATGGATTATTACGACAGGGAAATTAGCAGAATGATCGTGTCGAAGATTACGTTTAGATCTCGTTTCTAGGGTCTCGGTTAAAACGCACGACATCCGGAATCTTACAATTAGTGGCGCGATATCGATGACGAGGCGAAACGAGTTGCTTCGGAAAGATCATTGACCGTTCTTGTCTCGATAATTACGAGTACCCCATGCGGCGAGCTTATCTTCAGTTTCACGTAGCTCCTCCTCCTCGATCGAGACCAGGGTCCGCTATCCTTTCGTGGCTCCGTGTATCTGATCTCGATGATCGATTGCTGCTACCGACTCTCGAAATTACATACGGTTTAACCACGGCTACAAATAATTATCCCCCGAGCTACTTTCGTTCCTCCTGGCGGTTCACGTGATCCGTCCAACGTTTGAACGTTATTGAACGCGTTATCGCTCAATCTTACCGGTTACAAACGATAAATTATCGCAGTTGTTTGGTAAAGCAAAGGCGGAAATTAAGATTCGGATCAGCTGGACCTTAAGCGTAAGGATCTCTCTCGAGTTCGATGATATTTTAATTAAGCGATTCGCTATAGCCAATCTCATCGATTCTTTTCTGAAGCAAAGTTACAAGGTAACGGGTTAACCCTTTCTCTAAGTCTATAATAGACTCGATTAAACGATTAAGAGTGGCAAAGTTTCGTATTATGCGAAGAGGGAGAATGTTTGTATGGATCAGAAAGAGTGTCAGTTCGGACGAGGAGAAGAAGAAGAAACAGAGTCTCACGGGTATCGTGTCGGCGTCCACGGCCACGATCCATCGACCATTGTGATCTTGTTTTCACGGTGTTGTTTCTTGCCGTGTCTGGGTACACAATGACTGAAAGGAAACGATTGCGTCACGATGATGTCATTAGCAAGGACCACGCCCCCTACGGCGCTACCCCATTACGCCGAATCATCGGCCGGATGAGTTCTCCAGGTTGCCACAGCCGGAGCTTCATCGTCATCGTTTCTTTCCTCTTCCACTCGTATACGCCCGACGATCCTCTCCGGAGGTGTAAGAAAGTCCGAAGTTAATTCGAACTCGAAGACCTCCGAGCAAGTACGCGTGGGTGCCCAGGGTATCGTGACTGGTTAATTAAATATAAGAGTTTTTTGCGAAGCAAGCAGGCGGGTTGTTTTAATGACTCGACTTTACTCGAACTTTTTCCTACGGAATACTTTCCTCGAGTTACCGCGGAAAAACGCGTGTTTTCGAGTTTCATGCTTTGCACAATTAGCGACGCTTTTTCTTATTTATCACCGAGTTGCAATCACCGTGTCGAATAAACAGTAGGCTTAGGGACTTGGAAATTTTTCCTACCGTCGACCGGCTCCCCTTTTGAACACCGAAGTCTGTCGCATAATTTCAAATTAACGCTTAATGATATTGTTGCCACTGCATTATTCACAACCCTCTATAAACAGATTTCACCGCGGCGCATTGCACTGTCATTGTCCGGAGGGGGATCGAATTCTGATATAGATATCGTGAAGCTACCAATGGAGAAAGCTACGGTACCCGTAAGAGGAATAATAAAGAAAAAAAAAAAAAAGAAAGGAAAGAAGTTAGTAGCGAAAGAAGAAGCCGAGAATGACGTAGAAAATGAAAGAAAAAGCGGATCATTGATCAGATCGGACGATCGATAAAGGATCCGACTAACAGTCATTAAGTCGACCATTGTGAGGTAGCAACACCCGTTTGATTGGTTAATCTACACCTTGGTCGTTCTTGAAAGGCCGTCGACAAACTACAAAAGCCTTTGAATCTCGATGTTAGTTGTTCCAGAGCGCAACCAATGACTTGCTGCAACGACCTGCTATCGAAAATAACCGGATCCTTTGAATTTACCCTGCCCCCTCTCCCCCGAAATTCCGTCGCTTATTTACTATCGAATCATCCCGTATCTTTGCCGACTAGAAAATCCACTCTTCCGTGTTTTGTCTCAGCGAAAGTGCAGTTTTTACTCGGTACGCTTGCCAGAACGAAAGGGAAATGGTTTTAACTTGTACCTTCCCGTCGACAGATACCATCTACCCTAACGTTTTTCACTTGTTCGTAATTGTTTCTTAATCTTAAAAGATGGGCCACATAGATTTACGACTTCGGGAAAGTATTTGTTTAAACAGCATTGGAAGGAAACAGTACTCATAAAGGCATCGCGTCTCTCCTCTCACTGAATTATCGAATAATTTTCTTTTCTTCGTCTTCTCGAACGCGATCTCGTTTTATTCCCGTCCGAGAATAGCTGGCTGATTTATTTCGAATCGACGAGCCAGCGAAGAAGTTGCGGTCGTGTTTCGGCGAAAAAATCGACGAGGAATCGGTGCGAACTAGCACGATCGATGCAGAGCCGAGGATCTCGTTAAGCGATCGAAGGAAGTGCTCTGCGGTTTGCCAAAGAACGCGGCTCGAGCCTGTTTGTTTAACAGGAAGAAGAATCGCGCACAGCTGCGCCTCTTCTCGAGCTTTTCTTTTTTTTTTAATTTCGTATTGGTATTTCAGCAAGAATAGCCCCGAGACAAATCAACTATACAGGGTGTTAAAAAATACTCTAAAAATCTCTACATCACTGGATAGATCACGAAAAATCGAAGCGAAAAGTTCTGTAGCATTTTTCGATAGGATCAGTAGTTTAGCCACATTTCGTTGTTGAAAATTGAAAAATTCGACCAATCAGCGCGCAGCTTGAGTGGCAAGACTCTCGGCGCATGCGTAAGCGCGACGCGCAGCCGCAGAGGAGGCTAGTCTCCTACTCCGCGGGTCTTGCCACTAAAGCTGCGCGTTGATTGGTCAATTTTTCAATTTTCAACAACGAATTATGGCTAAACTACTGGTCCCATCGAAAAATGCTACAGAACTTTTCACTTCGATTTTTCGTGATCTATCCAGCGGTGTAGAGATGTTCAGGGTATTTTTAACACCCTGTATATCGCGTTAATCGCGTTACTCTTGTTTTCGTCTTGAGTTGAACGTTGCAATATTCCTTGATATTTCTAAAAATAATTGCGCCGTGATGCAAATATTTACATTGGACGAGACTGGTGTCCCATCCTGTGTAACAGCAAATTAGACTCGTTAAAGATAAAAAGTGACGACGTGGAGGGAAGGTAGCAGGGCATTGGAAGTGTCGATAGCGGTCAAAGTGGTGGTCGATTGTCAAATTATCGATAATATCGCTAAACCAACAACAAGTCGTTGTCCGCGTGAAGGAAGAAAACGATCGGGCGAGCAAAACCGCAAGGCAGAGATTACGTAGAACGATGGCGCGGGTTCGCGGCAAGAAAACAGAATTGAACGCGCTCCTTTGAACTTTCATTGGCCTAACAGCCCTCTGTAGTACCTACCTGTATGATTCCGTTTGCATGCACAACCAATCCACCGTTTAAGAGTATCGTTGCACGGTTCAAAGCCGCGAGATAATGCCACGGCCAGAAGATAGAACTGTCGGCCTGTGGTCAAACCGTTTCTACAGGCGCGAGATGCGATTACGATCTTTCGATTCCCGATGATCGTTGCCATCTTACCATTGGCTACGATAACGTAGCGAATTGTCGAATGGAAATGCAAATTGATGGGCGTGTATCGTATCCCGTGGATAATAAGGATACCTTGCCAGACTAACAGGGCAGACCACACGAGGTGTTATAAAACTTTTCATATTTTCATTTCTTTTTCACCTAACGTAATTCATTCTTTAGTAATGAGACTTGACAAGTCCTTTCCCTCTTTGTTCCCTCTCTTCCCATTTAACAAGCTATCAGCTTGCAAACCGAATTAATTTCAACGTTCGATTCTACGAATCAACCGAGCTGGTAACAGGTGACTGGCTGGCACGCATATACCTCGATCAATGTTTTCCAGTAAAGAGAAACCCTTTTCCACTCTATCCAATCGTACCTTATAGACTTTGAAAATAATTCAAAGAACCATAATATTATGGAATCCCACAGAAAATTTCAATTCGTGGTCCTCCGTGTTCTAAAGAAACGATTGTGATTGCTAAGGGTCTAAGGTTCTTGTCCTGTGGTTCTCGTATTGCTGTGAAATCATAGGAACGTGCTAAATCGCGTGTTCGTATTTTTATGATTTTCAAATTTCAAACGTATCAGAGTTACCCGGAAGGGGTTGGAAACAATTTTCTTTTTCTGAAACGAAGCGACGGATCGATGAGTGGAATTGAAACGGTGAAGAACTAGGATGGCCGCGAAAAAAATGCCAGATCGTTCGAAGGATAATTTAGTTGAAAAGAATCTTGATTGCGATCTAATTTAACAGAGGGGAAGGGAGAGGTGTAGGGGGCGGAGAAAAGGTAGAGTATCGGTATGGTTCTTAAACAAACACGGAGGTTCTATACGTCGGATCCTTTGGGGTTTGAACGTGTATCGTGTACGTGTACCGGTTCGAAGACGAGCCGATAGTGACTATGCGAATTCGCTTGGCGTCAGTCCGACTCCTAGCAATTTCACGGCAGGTTAACCGCCACCACGATGGGACAGTGTTTTATTCGTCTGATAGAAGCCAGATTGCTCTCGATGCGTGTCTCATTGTCGATCGATCAGTGGCTATGCTTATCCCGACTTTTTAATAAGTTTATCTTCCCGTCTGTTTTCAAATATTCACGACGAACCCTTTTGCGGTCTGGGAAATTGTAAGAAACGTATGTCCTCTCAGTGATCCTTGATCTTAATTTTCCATCAAATTGATCGCTGATAAAACGAAGCGCGATTGGATTTCACCGCGGGTAGAGAACGAGGATAAGAGGGCGCTAAACCTGGTGCGCTTGCTCGTTTCGCGTCGCGAAACAGCCCGAGCGTTATCTGCGCCATACCGACGTTATACCTATTCCCGGACGATAACGCTAATTATATTTTACGGCGCGATAATCATGCAAAGGCATTTTGTGCGCTCGAAACGCTTTCGGCAACGGAAAATATTCTCGTTTCGGTTACGTCGTTCCCGTTTCGTAAGCTGATAAATAATCGCTATTACAATTCAACCATATAATCTTTAGTTAACGTTACGCTATTTGTAATGTTAAGTTTGCTGAAGGATAACGTGATAAACGAGCACGCGGTTACGATAAGGGATCGCGGACTGCGAAAAGAGAAATCAAAATGAGAGGGAAAGAAAAGGGATATCGAGATGACGGGTTGATTTTGTTCCTCGAACCGCGTCTAATTCCCCAATTTGAATTTGCACGCGCATGCGCTCGAAATCAGTCAGATTCCCCTGCAATCAAACGGAAATCGAGGGCCGGAACGTTCGATCGCGTTCCGTCCGTGATCCCTCGCTCGTTCGCTCCTAACCGAGGGACGATCATTTACCGAAGACGCATATATAAGTCGTACAACTCTGTAGACAAAAATAATCAAGTGTGATTGCTCGTAATGACGGGGCTAAGCTGTCCAGCTTAACAAATGATAGTCCTACGAGCTGAGGGAACGAGAAAAGTAGGAATAAAAGGGTGGACAGAGAAGATGGGGAGTTAAGGTCTGCCGGGGTATAACCAACCCGGGGCCAGATCGGTAATCGATCCGATCCCGCATGGAAAACGCCGCGGCCGTTTCTTATTAATAGGCAGACTCGCTTCCTTCTCTCGTCCTTTATTCGCTCGTCGAAAATTTACGGATCTGTTTCGTATCCGATCGGGTTAGATCCCTCGTCTACACGTTAA